GGACTATATGAATGATAACTGTCTGCTGCAGCTGCTGTTGTTTTATCTATTTTAACTCCATCTAACTTCTTCCCTTAAATACCATTTGCCCTTTTAATTCTTCTCACCTTTCTGTTTTGTCAGTGATGACCTCAGTAAGTCTTTGGAAGCACAAATTTATTCCAGCTGCCCTTTAAAATCATAAAGTATATTTCTGTCACATAAATAAACAACTATAAGATGGAATTTATCGTTGCAGACATCCTTGGCATCGTGAGGGTCAGTAGCAATAATAATAATGATGAACATTTTATGAAAAAATAATAAATCTTATGAAACAAAAGCATTTGGAAAGAATATTAAAACTCGTGCCTAAAGGCATAAACAAACCTCTAACTGATGAGTTGAAGAAAGAAACTTTTTCCTCAGGGCAGATTCTATAATTGCTTAGCACATGTCTTCTTCCAGCTTTCTTTAAAACACATTATGGCACTGAGAGTCACTGCTAAAAACGGAATAGTAGAGTAGATGGAGGGCTAGATTGTTTTTGCAATGACATTTCTTGTAGCCCACATCACTTTAATGCTGTTTTCATTTAGTTACTCAGTCCCAGAATTTGCTAAACAGATCCTAAGATGACCCTTTTCTCAGCTATATTTTTTCTTACTTTATATATGCTGTATAGTTTATGCAAAGTTAACTTCAGCAGACTCTCTGCAGTACTTACAGCTTCAGCTATGTCTTTCACCTCACAGCCTCATTCACACATGTGTTCTCAGGCTAATAGAGCTCTGTTTTGCTTTTTCTGTCAGTCTTCTGTCCTTTCTGGCTTGGTTTCTATCTTTCTTGTGGCTTTTCAAGACTTACTGAAAGCTTGTTTTCTGTCTGAACAAGAATAGTTGGCAAACTATTATGCTTTGCTAAGAAAAAAAATAACCAGAATATAAATTACTAAAATTGGTAGAGGATCCTGGTTTTCCTTATAGGATTTTATTCTCTTCATACCGCTTTTTTTACAGTAACAGACTGTTTTAATCCATACCGCATTGTTAATAAATTAATTTTTAGTTGATACAGATTAAGTCTATTAACACTGTAGGAAACTATAAGGATACACTTTCTCAAGAGTTCTGTCCTAAGATCTGTAGGGTGAAAAAATAGGGCAGTGTAGCTGAAATAAATTAAATATCCTTACAGGCTGAACTGGATGGTCTGGTTCCAGTAAAAGAAAAACTTTTATTCTTACAAATTTATGTTGAAACATATTAAATTGATTTTGTCTCTATAAAATACAGCAGTGATCAATGCAAACTGACCCACATAAGTAAATTTTTTTTTCTTTATGGATATCAATTTTACATGCATTTTTTTCATCCAGGTGTGAATCAACTATTTACTTTTTTTGTATCATAAATTATGCAGCTTAAATAAGTATGAGTTATATAATACTGATGCAAATAAACTGAAAGATTCTAAACCTTGTATGAATTCTACAAGCATGATTTACTGTACTTCATAATTAGTTACAGCTTTTAGCTTTCATAAGTAAAAATTTATTCCAGCATTTTCTTTAAGTTACCATTTCAAGTAAGCCTTTCAGTACTTGTGTGATGGTCCAGTTAGTAGGTGCCAAAAGGCAACGTGTTGTGACAAACTGTTTTCGTTTCCACTTCTGATTAATCTGACATTGATTCTGCATATCAGCCAGATCTTCACAGGCTTCTTAGTGTTTTATATGATGTTCTAAACTGGACATTGCTCTGCAGTTAATCTTGCTTACAAGGTTTCCTTTAAATATTACACACATGGAGTCTAGTACTGAAGTGTCTCCCCATATTTTATTCTGTCTATGATTTGGTACAACTAAATGTGCACAGAACTGAACAAGAGTGTGATGTTGGCAGTCTTTCTGTGATTATATTTAGTTGAAAGGGTGTTGTGAATATTAAACTCCCCCATACATACAAGAACAAGAAGCATGAAGGAGCCAGCCCGAGGCTACTAGTAATAAAGTAGTTTAAAGATAAATTGAGTGAGGATGTGGGACTTGTATTTTGAAAATGATCTCTCTATTCATGTCCAGAATTCATGGGTTATCCCTTTTATTCAAAGTATCTGAGTTCAAGCTTTCACAAATGCAGGGTACTCAGAGGAAGATGTTCTCAGTCTCTTTTTATGACTTGATATCAATAATTAAAATGGCCCTAGAATCCTCATCTCTTTATGAATGTCTTAATCATGAAAGCAGACACAAGCCTCTTTCACATTTCTGTATTGTGCATTCTTCCACCTTTATCAAGCTCACTCAGTCCCAGACAGAAACTCCACTGAATATTGTGAGTGTGGAGCTGGGACCCATCTACCCAGCAGTGCTGAGCTCCTGGGGAGCAACTACAGGGCAAGCTCAGCTCTGTACTGAACTTGCTCATGGCTCCTCTTCCTGGCTCAGAGCAGAAGTAGAACAGGAGACTGTAGATATAACTTGTCTTGTTCCTGTTCTAGATGCAAACCTTTACTGAAAATGGAACTGGATTGTGCTCAAAATCTGTTCCAAATATTTTTATTTGTTCTTCTCCATTCACAAACTCTTTCTGAGTCAAGACCCTTGAACATTCTTATGACAACTATTTGAAACCTTTTTTCTCATATGTTTGCTATAGTGCTTGTCCCAGTCCTCCCAGATGTCTTCCATTTAAATGTTCCATTCCTACAGTGGCAAAAAGGGATGTTTTTTCTGTCAAATTCTGATTCATCTTAGTTTCAACCCCGTCAATTTGGAATTTGAGGAGAAAACTCAAGATTTTATAATAAAGCCCCAAGAGGAAGAAGGAACTAAGCCTCCTCTAAGAATTCTCTTATTGTTCTACTTTGTTTTATATAACCAAAAATTAATTGTTCCTCAAATTAAATGTACTTCTTCTAATGACTCCTTTTACTGAATATATCAACATTTCTGCTGTAACTCTGCCTTCTAAGTCAATAATCTCAATGCTTGAACAATTGACTATATGTTGCTTTCCTATAGTTCACAGCTAGGGAAATTAATTCCGTTTAGACTCAAAGCAAATGTTTGACTAAATGGAATTAGTTTACTGATACATGAACAAATCTAGGACAGGATTTAATTACATTTACAGAAATTTAATCTAATGAATCAGGTTGATTTTTTCCTAGTATTTAATGGACCTTACCAGAATCAGTAAAAGTAAACCACGTACAATTTGAAAGCAATTTCTTCTACACTCCACTTTGAATGAGCAACCTATAAAACTAATAAATAGCTATATACAGTTTCTACAGTCCTATGAAGGAAATCTTTCTCTTTTTTTCTTTCCTTTCCCCTTCTTCTGTGTTCTAGATTATAATCAAGACTGGCTTCTGTGTAGCAACATTAATGTGTTTGCAGAAAATAGCTGTGTAATGGGCACATTAAGAGCAAATTAGCCACACAGACTTTCTAATTTGGTGTTCTGTCTTCAACAGTGGTCAGTACTGAGTGCAGCAAAAGAAGCACAAGATTTAACAATACTGAATAAGCACATAACTTCTCAAGAGAATGTCTTTAAAAATATTTGCCTTACTGTCTTGAACCACAAGGAATTATTTCCAGTCTATGCAGAAAGTATAACTGTGCTTTAACTTTAGCACACAAACACGTTTACCGCTTCTCCCATAGTAAGACTGTAGTTTTACTAATATCTCATGGCACTTAATGCATTATTCTAATATTCTAGTGAGAAATCAGATTCTTTCTGGAGATAAACAATTATGGAAGGTTTCTTTTTTCCTGTGCAACTGCCTAAGTATGTTGCAAAATTAGTATTGCCTGCAGCATTCATTAATAATAAGCCATGGCTCTCCTATGTTCTTTTACTGGTCGTATGCCAATGTCTCTTTTTTTGAGCCCTTATGACATTACTAGTTATTTTCCTTCTGCCTTAGATGTGTGACTCTTTGTATTAGGTTTCTCAGACTATACTCTTTCAACTATAGTGCTTTGACCCAAGTGACTTTATGATCTCCAATATTAAGCAGTTTATAATAAAAAATCTTTGTCTCTGCTCTATGTAACCTCAATTAAAATAGGGGGAAAAGCCTCAGTTCTGTACAAGTCCTCTTCAGACTTTTCCATGTTTACATATAACATTTTCATAATAAACTTTCATTATGATAAATGAAAAGTCAGGATTCACTTTTTGTTTCTACAAGAAATTGCTGTAATAATTAGAAATAGAAATGTAATATTTTGAGGATTTATAAAAATATTTTGGTTTTTAAAAATTTTTAAGTGCAAATGCAGTACTAAAATATTTCTAACAGAGAGGTTTTGGATTTTTTTAATCAGGTTTTAAACTATAGCATAGGAGGCAATAATGTCTAGATAAAATTCCTTCAATTAGGATATGTTACAAGTCTTTCAAGTTTATAATATTAATTGCAAAATCATACATTGCTAAAGCAAACAAAAATTTCTAGAGTTGAATCTTATTTACACAACATTAATGGAAAAATTACCAAAGCTGCAAAAAACCTATAGTTAATTCTTCACTTTGAGGATAAATGTGAAGGTTATATTTCTAGTACCTAGCAATTCGGCTTTTAACTCAAATGCACATTTCCTGTTGTCACATGAATAACGTAATCTTTTTACCAAACTTGATCTTGTTAGTAATCTATTATATTTTAGAAGTAAAATAAATTCTAATGCCATTTCTCTTTCCTAGATTATTTCACCTAGCAAAAAAAGATTGATTGTAAGAAGAAATTATTCCCAATGCAGTGAGCTAGTGCAAGCAATTTATGACTTAATAAATGCTCAGAAGTTTTTACATTTTGTAGCTTTTTTTCTCCTGGATTGTCATCTGGATTAGGGGCCATTTGTTCTCTCTAAGGCAACTTAAACCCAGAGTTCTAACTGAAGTGGACAGTATGTGAATGTGGGTTTAGTTGATGTATCTCAAATTTATGCACAGAGACTACCTAGAATTAACAACAGCAAAAGAATTGTTGCTTACCTGAGAAACATTTTTGCAACCACTTCTACACATATGTAGAGCTATTCTAAAGTTATTCTGATTTCTTCTTTCTTCTGGATTATTTGAAGGCACATTTACATTCTCAGTGAAGCTTGCTGTTCTGCAAGCAGTTATTAAAGAGTAAGAATTAGATCTTTGGAAGATTTGTGGCATAATCAAACAGGAAACTGAGGAGAGAAGATGGATAAAAGTATCCTGGGTAAGTAAAAGGGGAAAAAAAGAAAAACAAGTATTAGTATACTTGCACACATACAAATATCCATACAATTATTTATGTATATACATAGACACACATAAAGAAATATAGTCACACAGGCAGAAATATATACAGATGTTTCCAGGGAATGAGAGAAAAGTAATGCAGCTTGATGGGCTTTTCATCTTTGCCACTTTCAGATTCTTTATCACTGCCTCAATTTCAATAATGTTAGCATATTTTGGCTTATACCACATGGGCATAACAGGATTTTCAGTGCTTTAAAAAGAGAGTTCATCCACAATTATATTTTATTTACACAGGCAAAAACAATGAAGATGAGGTTTTATAGACCTTTACTTTCAGTGCTGTTTCCTGAGGAGAAAGCATCTTGGTTCAAAACTGTGATAATTATCATGCACCACTGAATCCAAAGTAGCTGTGTAGAATACATTAAAAGCACATGTTAACAGATTATAAACAGCCTTAATCAGAAATATTCATCAGTCATGGCTATATGTGCACTCCTACACTGCTAACCACACTAAGTATGGATTAACACCAATTCCAAAACTATGTGATATGTTTATCCATGAAGCAGAACTAAATATGAAAAATTATGCTAATTTAATGGTGGGAGACACAAAGGTTTGCAGAGAAGAGACAGGATTTGCCAAGGAGTCCACACTGGCCTTGGTAAGAAGCACAGAGGAGAGGGTAGCTGGAGCTGCTCTCTGCCAAGCCGGCATGATCCACCCGAACTCTGAGCACAGGTGGAGCAGGTAGAACATTCACCAAGTGAAAAAGCTGTAGAAAAACTTCTTACATGTGGGCACAGAGAATGCCAAGTGGGCAAACACAGTCTTCTCTTTAGGAAACAGAGAGAGAAAAGTCATATTTAGTCTTCACAGGAAGACCAATTAGAAACTCTTACAATTATCGTCAGCCTAAATGCTGCACAGACAGAACTTCTTCAAGATAAATTAATTTACAAGAATTAAAATAATGACCAGGATCTCTGCCCTTTTATCTGCTAAGTGCAGGGACTCATCCTGAATTCTTTTATATCAAAGTGTTCAAGAAACTGTATGAAAGAGCAATTAACTTTAGTGAAATACTGTTCATTAACCCCTTTTGACATTAGAAAATAAAGCACTTTAGAGAACTGAAATTAAAGTTAATTGAAGCTAGAAGACATACCTCCTTGAAAAAAATTTGATCTCTTATGTCAGCAGACATCTCTTATTCTAGTTGTCAGATTCTTCTTTGGCTTACTTTTTCTCTGCGTAAATGTGAAAAGGAGTAAATATAAAACAAGGAGTTGTTAGTCATTTTGTTTATACAACCATAGCATCTTTCCATGATAACAGCATATTTCCCTAGAAAATGGAATTATAGTGTTCCATGCTACTGATTATAAATAGCAGTCATTCAATTAAATAGTCTTATTCAAGTCAAAGAGATTACTTTTTTAAGACCCTAATTCTGGTAAATATATACTTTTATGTTTTATATGCTTTATACCAGAAATACAGTATTAAATTCAGACCCTCTTAAAATGAAACAAGATTCTGGGGTCATGAAAAAAAAAAAAAGCAGCATGAAAGGTAATGACAATTGCAAAGAGCTAATGCATTGGATCTAGACCCTTTCATGCCAATTAGTTGGAACAACTTCAAGTGAAAACTGGTTCCCTCTTGCCAAAATGTGACGAATTCATGAACCCCTTAGTTTACAGGAAAAGCAGTAAGATCAGTGTAGTCGTACATTATTTATCTAAGTTAATTAACAAGCAATTCTAATTTTACATAGAAATATAACTGAAATACAGAACTGAGATCAGACAGCCATTTTTCAAAATCCCAAACTGCACTGTTAAGTCACAAATCTATTCACAGCTAAGGAGTGCAGGCCTCAAACCAATATATCTAACTCCTGATGATTATTTATGTCTGACATCAGTGTGATTTAGACACCCAAATCCTACAACCATTCTGAACATTCCAGGCTGAATTACAAGCTTTTGGAGCAAGGTAAGCCCCAAAGCAATATAATGCAACCACATTGACAACATCTAGAATTTTTCTGTATATAAGGAATGCTATATATTTGAGCTGAAAGAGAATCAGAGCAGCCACATGTAAATAATACCCAGACATGATATGAGGTGCTTAAAATAATATTTTAAAAATAAACCAATGAAAACAACTGTCATTGTCATCATGTCTAACTCCTTGTTTACTGAGGCAATGTGTATCGTACAGCTCAGTCCACTTCAGAAGTGCTCTCCTATCAAATTAGTTAGACGACAGAGCCAAAACAGACTTAAAAGAAAACCTATTTCAAACTATAATTCTTCTTATGGCTAACAGAACCCTATTCTTCTAATGTTCGCTATATTTGTTTCCATTGTCCTTGATCTTTTGATTCGTGTGCATTTGCTCTGACTGGGATAATTTCTCTGTGGCATTTGACCAGTATTGTTTTTCCTTTTGACAAATTTCTAGCAAGCAATTATATGATCTATGAGCTAGATGGAAAAAGACAAGAGTTTTTCAGCACTCTGGTAGAATGAACTCCCTACTTTTCTGATTACTCCAGCAGCTGCTGTCTAGACTTCATCTAGATCACTAGAATTGAACAAAGAATTCAGGTCAAGGGTATAACAGTTACTTTTTTGTATTTCAGTACTTGAGTGGAGCACTTTCTACTTCCACAAATACTTGAAATTTATTGGATTAAAAAAGGCAAAGCTAAGTGTAGCAGCAGCATTTGTGATGGAAACATAGTCACAAAGCAGAAAAAATAGTTTGGATACAAGATTGGTAGTACACCTTTGTCAAGATGACTTTAATTTGTATTGGAGTCTCACAGTACCATACAAAGCCCATCTATGTACAGTAGGCTTGAAATGTTTGCCTCTCAGGCTTGTTTCCAATTAGCCAATGAAAAGAGAAAGAACCATTCTTCCTTTGTGGGATACCTTCACATATTAAAGGCAGAGCAGTAATAAAAAAAATTATACTCCCAAAATTTGGAATTCTGTCCCATTCAGAACTCTTATTTAAAGCAAAATAAGCATCTTCAATACTGTTGAGTAATATCATAAAAGTTTGGTGCATAAATTATTAAAAAATGCTTTCTTTTTTTCACTATTCATGTATGCATTACCACTATTTGGTTTTTTTTTTAATATTATCTTTCTTTCCTCATATAGGAGTTTCAGCATAATGAGATACCTGAAAAGGAAAGAAAATACTCAGAAAAAAAATTCTTCTTACTCAAAGCATTCTTATCGTTATTTAATCTGGCAGAACAACAAATTAAAATGCATCTCAGAAAAAGCAGGAAGCATCATTGAGGAAGTTACCACAGAAGCACTCTTTGAAGCTAAGTAACAATAATATTTTCTATCCATTTGGTGAGTCTATATCAGAAAAAAAATCTATGTTAACTTGTAATATGCTGAGAAGAAATGCCAATACAAAATGCAGTTTTAATGGCAATGATCAGCAGATGAAGATACAGAAATAACACCAACTGCATGGCATAATTTCTGGAGGTATTGAAAACAGATTGAAAACAGCAATCAATAAGAGATATTGCTGACCTTGCAGTGTGTATAACATTCAATAAATATCTAGGCCAATCTACTAGCATTTTATTAAAATGAGTCTATAACACTGTGTTTTCTATTAAATTGATCACATCTGATGTGACCATCAATATGACTGCTCCCAAAGTTACAAAAAAAATCCTAAGATAACTAGTAGAACAATTTCACGCTTGTAGTGGTAATAAATTAGCATAGAACTGATACCAGTGTAATTAGATTGTTCAAGGTCTTTAAAAAAATAATAGCATTATCAGTATACTCTCTCATGTTGCTACAGTAAAACCATTGTAAAAGTATTTCACTGTTATTCACTTCTATAACATATAAGGAAGGAATACATACACACACACAGAAGATGCAGGGGTTTATATCTTAAACCACAGCAGATTTAAGCTAGAAGAATTAGTCAGTTTATAAATTATTTTTATACTCCCTTTTTTATTTTCTTAATTGAATACCTTCTTTCCAGAATATTAATTGAAATGAAATCTTACAGGGAAAACAAGACTAAAAAAAAGAAAAAGAAAAAAAGAAACCAAAACACTGTCACACAAATCAACACACAAATGTGAGAGACAGAATTCTTCAAGTCAAAAAGAAATATATATCCTGGCACATGTATAGTTAAACAAGAATGTCTGAGACATGACAAGCAATATTTATGCTGTTATTTGCAGGATTCTGCATTCTAGCTTTATGAGAACACATTCAGATAGGTTTACATAATGTCCCTGACTTCAGATGAAAATTTTGCAGTATTTCTTACAGTAGCAAGGAAACATGTTAATGAGAAGGAATAAGTTGTTTATAGGCTGCAGAAACATTATGACTGCAAAGTATATATCACTAATAATCATAATAATGACAATAGAGCAGCTGTTTTCAGTGTGGTCAAAGTGAGATTTTTTTTTCTGTTTTACTTCTGTGCTTAAGATCAACTTTGACCTTTTTCCCTTTATGTTGCTACTTTTCAGTAAACCATAATTCTGAGAGCATTCCTTACAAAGACAATAAGGATGTAGCTTAGCCATCACACAATTAATTGTTGATATTTCTATAGAGTTGGTTTAATTCAATGTACAGTTATTCATACGATAATTAAAGGAAAATGCTAACATTTGCAAATCCCTGAGAAGAAACACATCTATTCTCTTATTGCTGTAAATATTCACTACAACAACATAATTTCAATGTAGCTTGGACATCAGAAAGGGTTTGCAGAAGAACAGCTAACTGTATTTTCACTTTCATAATCATAACTTGGATTTAAAGAGCAACAAATACACTAGAGCAGTATTAATGTTCTGTAACAGAACTGATAAAGCCCAAAATATTTTGGAGAAACAAGGCCTATTTTCTTGAGTTACAAACACATTTGTGTTCTTTCAACCTAATATTATTTCTTGATTGTACTTGCAGCACCTGCCTCATTATATATTATTCCTTGAATTTTTTAAAGACAACACACACAGAAAGCCAGACTACTCAAACAAATATGCTCTTAAAAACACCAGTAATACTAATGAGTGTTCTCTTTATTCTTTACAGATTGCCACTCAAATTTAGCTTTAAAATGTCACTATTCCCTTCATGATTCTTATCCAATCCATATTATATTTCCAGTCTATTGGTAAATCTGCATCACCCTTACCAACATTTTTCTCTGTATTTTTGTGTTATGTCATGAAAAATTCTTAAAATATATGCTTCTGTAATTATATTGTTAAATAAGACTAGGACAGTATCTTCTTTGTTTAGATTTTGTTATTATTGTTGTTTGGTTAATTTGTTTTGGGGCTTTTGTTTGGTGTGGAGATACCCAGGTTTTAGGAAGAGGGAGTTATTTCTGCTAGCGGTGAGTAGATTTTTACTTGGAGTTAACAGCATTACTTACACAGTCAGGTAATATTTTTTTAATTATATTGAATTTTCCTTTATTGTATAGCTATGTGTAGAAGTGTCATCCTTTTACCATAAATTTACGAATTCTACATTGCAATTTCACTGATTCCAGTAAGCTATTCTTGTTCACACAATCAAGATGGATGCTCTTCTTTTCACTAGAATTTTAATTATACAGTTGGGCTGAGATCCATGACTTGTTGACATTGTTCACTGCTTCTATAGGGTCTGACTCACGGAAGAAATATAAAGCAGATAACAACAATAATCTAGATTACTTAATATCATCATGTTAAATAAGCCTTTCAGAAATTTCTCTTTGTGGTGAATGCAATGTTCAAATGATGCCAGAAAGCCTTTTATACTTTTAGTCCTATTTTATTGGCCTATTTTATTGGTCTTTTCTTTATGAGTTAAACAAAGCATTAATAATGATTTCTCAGAACAAGACTTCCATTAGTGGCATAAAGATTTACACTTTTGGTATAATTGTTCATGATTGCACAAGTTAACTGGATATACTGAGTTTGACAGCAATATGCTTTAAAAAGTAGTTTATTTAGTAATAAAAATGTGATAGAATGGTTGAAGTGGCTCAGAAGTCTGAAATTAATCAACTACCTTTTCAGAGTTGTACTTCCTCTTCTAGAGGTATAGGTCTGTTATTTGTCTCCAAATGGTAAAATGCTCTGTTTCTAGAAAGACAATATTTTTTCACTTTTTTTTTAAATAAAATAATTTCTTTCTGAAGTCCCAAAACCTAATTTAATCTCCTTACCTTCCACAGTTCATAATATTTCTCCATGCAAAATTTCAGACTTCTTATTCAATTAGGGGGGGAAAAAGCAACAATCTCAACAGCTGAGATTGTTAAAGTTGCCTTTTGCCAAGAAGCTGGGATGCAAGGCACAATGAGGAAACACAGGCCTTTTTGCATCCCAGATCCTGACTAACAGGTAACAAGGCCACCTGTTTCTGCTGCCAGCTCACCACATTTACAGGACACAATATCTACCTCTGTTGCAGGAAAATTAAAGCTCCAATGGAACCTCAATTTGGTAACAGCCAGAGGCCCAAGAAGCCGTCTGTAGATTCAATATCTATGATATTTGCACAACATATAGAAAGAAAGCTGCTGCTGCTTTAACTACCAAAACCAACTGGCTCCATTGGGATCATCAGGTTCTATTTACAATGAAAAGGGATTTTTTGTCCTAGTAAAAATACTGTAATGTGTAACAAGAAAAAAAAAATGAAGGAAATTTCCATCAATCCTCACATCAACCTTAATTTAAAGTCATATGCTATGTGCGGTGTTGGCAGGACAACTATACTGGACTTACTCATTTGCCAGACCAGGAAAAAAGGTGAAACCAGCACATCAGTTGAGCTTAGGCTGCTACTGAACCCTCTCGAGCAGGGCCATGGTGCACCACAAAGCACAGCAACTGCACAGCCAGAGGGCAAGTGGGTAAAAAGAGGCTGCCGCAGATACAAGAGAATGCAAAATAGATTCCTTGTCCCAGCAGGCAGAGTCACCTATACATGCCCCTTTTTTCCTACAACACTGGGATGTCTTTCTCAGAGAAAAGTAAGCATAAAAGATCTTCTTTTTGCTGATACACTGGACATTGAAATCCAGTCCAATTTTTTGACGAAGCATTTTTTTAAAAACCCCTTTTGTACCTGAGTTGCTGTTGTTACTCATGGAATAATATACTGCTGTATGTTGAGAGCTGAACAATAGTCATTCACAATATATTTATGTATGCAATTAATTTCTACCATGATAGCCTGTGGAAGAAAGGTTTGTGTAACCCACAGACTCCACAGGCATGTCTTTCTCTTACCTCTGCATGAATGTCTGTCACACAGCTCAGCTCAGAATAGTGATTTAATCTATTGACTAATTTTAAAAGAATTTTAAATAGGGGTGTGTTCCCAGATACAGCTTCCAAATATATTCTTAATCAGCTTCAGTTGCACTCAAAGGATATTGTGAATCATCACATATAATTAGAAATAGCAGCAGACAACAAATGCACTTACATTAATGAGGCAGAAAACACACCTGCTAAGGAAACAATAGGAGTGTACACATGACTTCTTTCTTCTTCACTGTTATTCAGGTTACAGATTTTGGGGTAAATTAAAGCATTCCTTGAGTTTAGAAGGTACTGAATATGAGAAAGCATTTTGATTAACAATATTTTTTCTTGCACTTTAATATGGAGAGTTTTAAAGCTTCTGTCTAGAAGAAACACCCAGGTGTTTCTCAGTGAGAGTGAAACAATATGAGAGTATCAGGTTTTAAGATATATAACTGTTGCTCATACCACCATCACAAAAATTTAACTATTTATTTTTACTAGGTAGAAGGACAAAACCACTGTTTTGCCTAAACATATATGAAGAAAGCTCATTTGACCTAGCAAGTTTCTTTCCTATCAAGTCTGAGGTATAAAGTATGACTAAAAATCTAAGTAGGAAATACTGCCAGCCAGTAATGAAGAGTGAAGAGAGAAACTGAGATAAAAATGGTGGGGTGCTGTGACTGATACATCCATAATCTTTGATATCCATATTCTCAGCTGGGAGAATGATATTCAAAGGTAACAGAGTACCATGAATTTAAGATTGTAAAAATGAATGGGGTACGTAAAGAACAGGTGTGATTCTACAAGCTTTAAGTATTCTTACTAATGGATCATATGTTACTTACTTTCCTTCATCAATGATGAGCCAGTTTAACTCACAAAAATTAACAGCAAAAATATTAATTACCGTGACTATTTCCATATCTCCTTTTGGAAAGCTTTGTTTCTCAATTTTTTAGGTTTTTTTTTTTTTGACCTTCCAGGAAGTTGCATTCCTAAAACAAAATATGTAAATTCAATGTAGAAACAAGTCATAAGTCTGCACATTCCAGAACACAGATCCAATACTAGTGTGGGTAGCACAGGAATATACAAAACAGACATTCCATGGAGCTCTGGAGCTTAGAAATTCTGCAGCTTCCATATAATTCAAGAGCTGCCCCAGGAAAGATGCAACTAAGGAACAGATGTGTACTTACTGCAAATCCTGAAAGAAGGAAGGAGCATGATCACAGCTGCCCACAGGCTGAAGAGAAAGCTGACCATGTTATCAGCATCATTTGGACAAAATCAAAAACAGAAACCGAAAGAAATATATTGATTTTGAGCCAGAAAGACTATGGTGCTTCAGTCTTTATCTTTTTCTCAGCTTTTAAAATTATTATTTTAAAATTATTTTGTGTCAATTATTTTGAGGCAAATTTCTACGTACAATACCTCAAAATCATTTCATTTTTTCTTCTTTTTACTTCTTTTTTTGGATGAAATCACTCTTTTCAGTTCTCAGGTTACGAAATAAAAGATCACAAATTGCATCCATCCTTCTAACAGCTTTTACAGCAAATAGTATCCCTCTATTGAATTCTGTCCCACAAGTTACCTTCATGTATGCTTCATTCTCCTCTTGCTTCTAATCTAAGATCACTGCAGGAGGCAGAGGTAAAAGTCTTCATGTTGTCACTGTACCAAGAACTATAAAGCCAATATGTTGTTGCATAAATAATAATGTAACAACAATAAACTAATATATATCCTTTTTTAAAGGAAGTTGTGTGGCAAATTCCATTGTCTTCTAATTAATTCAGGTAAATAAAATAACATGTTTGTACTTTAAATATTACACATACATATTTCTGATAGTTTTATTACATATCCTATGTAAAGCAATATTTGAATCAACAGCTATTTGGATTTATATTTAAATTGATATTTTTTAAATATATATTCCTAACTATATCCATGTTGAGTATTGACTTGTGCTAGGAGGTTAGGTTTGCAGGAGAAGGAAAATGCCAAATTTTGCACAAGCAAGTGATAGAAAAATACAGACATTCCTATTTCAGGCTGACCTTTAGATCAGTGACCTTCTTCTTCTGCCCTAAAGCATCTGTCAACAGGAAGTGCCACAAAACAACATTGCTAACCTTTAGTCTTTAATTCTCCTCTCTTGCTATGCCCTACAATTCAGGTTACACCTACTATCCCCTGAGCCATTAAAAAACTCCTGGATTTTGCCCGTAGGGCATTTTTTGTGTCTCTTACTTTCCAGTATTTAAAAAACCAGATGGTTAGGGTAACACTCCCTTTCTCTGATGTAGTATTCTTGGATAAAAATAAATGGTTTTTAGCAGTAAATAATGAATTTATTCAGTGCTACAAACAAACCAAAATGAGTTTTAGAAAGAATCAACAATATCAAAATTTGCCTATTTTTAAAACACTAGAAAATCTGCTTGTCAATGAACTACAGATTGCCAACCTGCCATTTCAAATGAAAAACACCTCTGACATTCCTGAAGAGTGTTAATGAAAGTTGGGGTTTTTTTCTTCTCCATTTTGTTGTCCTCCCTCACTTATTTTGTGGCTACTCCTTTATTAGAACCTGAATTTAAAGTCCACCCTGGTATTCATGACAGATAAATAGATATATACAGTGACAACCTCAAGTACATTGTCATCACTCACACTGATAGGACTTTTGCCTAGCAATTTAATCTTGTAATGACTAGCCACAAAGTAGCTACATGTAATTAGTGAATAGAAGAAATTTTAGATTACTTTTATATTAAATTGCTTTATAAGCAAAGGCACAATTTCCTGAGCAAAACTCTTTTGAGAGTTTTTTGTTCCTCTTTTGAGTTTTGCTCACATAGGAACATCAAAGCCCAAATAACAAAATAAAGATGTAACTCAGAGAAAGGTTCATCATAAAAAAAGATACAATTTTTTTATCATATGTAGAGTGAGACTGCAGACAGTTATGATACAGGATTTCATATGAAAAAATTAAAGCAGCTTGGATTTAAGAGAGCAAGGGATGTTATAACAGCCCTGTTCTATAAGCAGAGCAATATTCTGAGATTTCAGGACAATTATGTTTAACAACCGAATGCTTTAACTTTGCTGTTTAGCTTTTATCCAATGGTTTATGTTCTCCTTACCATTAGGTAACTTTCTGTCAAATCACTTACCCACTATATAAATTAATTGCTCTGCCATTCTGAGGTATATTTATATGCATAAAGAAAACTGTTGAATTTATTGAAAGTCTGAAAGCACAGGCACTCAAAGTGAAATAGATGTGCAGCTGGGGAACAAAAAAAATTTTAAAAAAAAAAAAACCAAACCATAAATTAATCACATAAATTTTTCACACAGCTGCCTGCACATTCCCCTGTATATCTCCCTAATATTGTTTAACAAAAAAAAAAAAAAAACAAAACAAAAGATAAAGATAAATATCTAGAAGATTATTTTTCCTTATTTTGTTCTAATTTCAACAAACTGGACAGATGGGATGCAAAGAAATGAAGAAAACTGGAGAAACTGTATAATCTGTGGTGAAATTTGCAGGCTGGTTGACCCATTACATTTTACCATTTTTAGGGGGGAAGGACTCTGGTAACCTGAATTTCATACTAAGACAAAAAAGCAGCCAAATTTGGTGGTGGCGGTATAGGTGAAACAGAGTGAAAATTTAACAGGGTAGAAATCCATTTGGATTTAGGTGAAATGTGCCACTTTGAGCTTGCTAGCATAAGTAAAATATGCTGTTTAGTCTGGTAGCTCTGCAGCACTAGTAAAACTGCCCCAGCGGAGGAGAAAGAATGCGAATTTCTAAGCTGAAGAGAGGCTCCTCGAACCTTGAAACAGACAGGGCAGGGTGACCCAGGAGTTCTTTCTGTACTTTCTGACAAAAACTAAGTACAAGTGTAACTAGCTGTAAGTGTAACCCGAAATCAGCAGAATGAATATGCATGAACCTATTGTGAAACACTATGCATACATAAGAGGGATAAAAAGGGATGGGGAGTTCTCAGGGGTGCGCATGTCCTTTGAAGGGGAACAATCCCCATGTGTGCCCAGCACTATAATAAACATACCATCCCTACAAATCTTTATAGCAATTGTGGGGTTTTGATTTTTCATCTGCATTTCATAGGCTATGTGTGGAGAGTTCATTTACCTCTGCTAGTGTATTAGGGAGTGCTGTCGTGTACTAGATCTATGTGCTTTGCTTAGAAAAGGCAGTTTTAAGGTGTAAATAGGAACCAATAACTCAAACTGGAGCCTGCTAACCCTCCATCTGAGCTGATGTAGTTGCCGAAAACCCTGGGTATACATCTTCTCTTTGCCAGACCTCACTGCAGATGCTTTTGTTGGACATCTCTGGCTGCTGAAGGGGAAGGGGGTGGTTAACCTACAGTCTTTAGGACCAAAAGTTAATCCAAGTAGTTCCTAGGGTCTAAAGTTCAGTTATGGTAGATAAAGACTGCAGGAAGCAGGCACTGACAAATGGGGCAATTATGACTAAGCCCATCCTCTTGTGCTTTGATTGCTTCTCGCTATTCACTTAGAGCCCAAAGGTGGATTTTTAACAGAACTTTCTCCCTGTACTATTTATTAGGAGAGATACTCAGAATGTTGTTATTGAAATAGTTCACTGATAAGATTAATACAGACATAGGACTTTAAGTCTTTTAAAAAAAGATGTTTTTAAAGTCTAGTCCAAAGGAGCATGAAAGCACAGCTTCATACAGAGAACATCAGAATAACAGGTCGGGAGTGAATTTTTCAGCCAGTGCACAAAGACTGCTTCTCTCTTGACCTCTGAAATAAACTTGATTTTAAATACGCAAAAGTTATTACAAATTCTTCCTAAATGAAGGTTTAAGACAAAAAAGAAGGGGCTGCCCCTCTTTCAGGGAAATTGAAAGAAGACATATTTTAAAATGTCCTGGATTTGGCTTGTCTTCCATCTTGGCGTTTGTCTTGTTTTTAATGTAGAAAACAGCAAACTTGTGCAAACCAACTGAAGATATAAATAATCATACTAGGGTTAGTTTTAAGTATAGTTCGTTCTCCTGTTACCATTTGTTCTAAACCTTTCAGGGTAGTTTTTTCTGTACATGTCACTGATGGTGTCATGGCTTAACCACTGCTGGCAACCAGTCATGACATTCACTCCACTGGTAGGATGGGGAACAGATGTGGAAAATCTCTTAGGTTGAGATAAAGACAATTTAATTGGTAAATCAAAATCCACACATGGAAGCCAAGCAAAACAAGGAATTTTTCACTACTTCCCGTCCGCAGTTAAATTGTTATTTAGAATAAATTAATTGCTAATATGAATTTTTAAATAACCTAGATATAATTCTTTAAAAATGTAGACTGACATTAAAAATACATTTATAGCTGTGTTCATTCTCTGTGTTGTGAATATAGTTTCGTAGGCACAGCTATGCTTTAAACAAAGATATGATACGAAAGTTCAGAAAAATCTTATTCTGCTTTCTTTTAGACAGAGGTTCCTATCCCAGCCATTTGCAGAATATCCATTTTATGTGTAGAGCAAGACAAATTACTTTCTGTTTTGAGGATTTTTTAAATATTATGAACAGTCTTAGACACAACACTTAAAATTACTTCTTGAGTATCTTACAGAATCTGAATTCTGAAGTTTTACATTCAGGCAGAATTTTTCCTTTCACAGAAACTATGTAGAAAAGTGGATGCTTTAATGGAGCATCCCTGGACCTTGCCATATGATAGTGAAAGGGATGGTTTTGGTCTCAAAAAGAGTAATATTTTGATAAAAGTATCAATAATGATTGCAGTCACATAAACAGATTTTAAACAGGTCAGTATTATTCTTAAATTTACATCATGACATAAAAACAATATCTTCAGAAAATGCCTACACAGAATAATAACTGATTTTTTCATGCAGCAGTATGTTTTATAGTTTTAGAGCATAGTTTATAGGAGTGAAAAATGCAAGTAAGCCTCCCACGTAAAACACATTTTAAAACAAACCATGTGGAAAACCATCTTAAACTTCGCACAAACCAGGACAGCATTTAAATACTACTAGTGTCAAAATATTAGACCTTTGATAATGGGTATATGTGAGAAGGTTAGCCACATCTATTTTAATATTTTTGAAAAATATTTCTAGCCTGCTGAATGAGCATCTTCCTCTCTTTCTCATTTTCAGAGGAGAGAGAGAGGTTATGAGCTGTTTAAGAGTCCAGCCAGAGGTTGCCCTTTCTATAATTGGTGCAAAAATCTATTTTAAAAAATGATGTATCTTAGCTGATTATCTTACCTCAGCTGATGTAGCTTTTTCTTTAGACAGCTTCATGCTTCCAGTGGCCAATTTCCTCTGGAATATCAATTTCTGTGAGCAGGAATGAAACACACATCGAAGTAAATAAAAAGGATGATGTTTTTAGAATTAATTAACCATTATATACTGATAACAACTTTAAATCTTTAGTCCAGATATTACTGCCAAGTACACTTGTTTCACAATTATAGCAATTTGTAAGAAATGTTTTTTGGTTTTCAGTCAAAGAATTTTTAATAATATCTAAATGATGCAATATTAGACCTGATGAGGACATTTTCAAAGCAAAATGACAATTTTTTAAAATAGAAGCTCTTCAGAAGAAAAGACTGCAAAATCTTGTGCCAGAAATAAACACCCTGTGACTCCAAGATATTCTTGACCACACCAGGATGAGACACTATAATGTGCTACTGATGCTCAGTATACTTTCAGACCATGAAACTCAAACTCTTGGTCCAAATGAGAGACAAAAACTATAGACCCCTATGGAAAATGCCCGGATCAATAACTTTTGTCAAAGGGTTTACATTTTGCATAGAAAAAGGACAGGGGAATAAAACTAGTCCTTTCATGCACACAGACAGAGAAACGGGCTTCTCCAATAAGTTTTTCTGTGGTGTGCACTAGAAAAAAAAAATTATATAAATCCTGCTATGATCAACAGTAAACCAGCTCTTTCACCATTTCTACATAAGTTGTAACTAGAGAGCATTAACATCATGTTCCTTCAATTTTACTGGAAATCACTGTTAAACATTGTAGACATTTCACCTAATTGCTTGCAATCTGAGACACTGTATTAAAAATATTTAAAAGAGTATTTAAAAAATTTGTTAACATAAAACCTTCAAATGAAAAGTGGCTGTAGAAGATAACTAACAAAAACTAAAACTGAAGACTATATATATATATATCTACTCATGTTCTTAGGTAAACATAGCATAAAATTTTAAAAATATGGAAAAAAATATGCACATTTAGATGACATACAAATGCATGTGAATGGTCTGATATGTTTAAATATACTACTAAAAATTCTATGTTCTCCATGAAAAATTTTGAAATATTTTACTGAAATACTTCCCAGTTCCAGATATCAAACAGGAAAAATGCGAAAGTAGCACCAGAGAACTAGCTGTCAATTGCAATAATGGAACTAATATTGATAACAATTTAATAAGATCATTCCTATCTTCTCTGTTCTCTTCAACAACATAAAAGTTTTTCATTTCTGTTTCTCTGCCCATTTTATTACCAAATGTAATACAACCTGATTGTTTCCTAACTTCAATAGTTTGTATTTCAAATAAGGTTTACAAAGTAGGTAGACAAAGAAAGGGAATAGTGGAAACAGAACTCTCACTGACCAGTGAAGAGTAGTCTGAACTAGTTTTATAGATTAAATTTACAGATAATTAAAAATGTCTCCAGAATGACAATACTGACGATAGGTGGAAGACACACTGTAGGAAGAGACAAAATTCAAGAGTTCTAGGCTAAGAATCAAAAGGCATTTCTTGAAATCTATGACTAGAATATGTATTCCTCTGTAATTGTGACACTGTGCAAAATCACCAGATTTTGCTGGAAAGTCACAATTTCCAAACAGTATGTAAGGATTAGGAGCAATGGTCAGAGATGCTACATTTTTTTTCCTTAGAAGGATGAAAAATTTGCATGAAATTAAGAGTATAGAACCATAAAGCTTTTAGAGAGAGACATAAAGCAGTCAGATGTCTTAGGTGGGTAAGATAACTTCCAAAATTGTGATACACAATACTGCCTCCCTACAAAGACATAGATATGCAGTCTCAGTTTTACTGAGCTACAAAATGTATTTAGATAGCTCAGCTATCAATATCAGCATGTTTTCTCCCCCAACTCCAGCTATAGTACCTGATTTCCAGACAAGATGATTATTATATTAATTTTTTGTGTATAAACATGAATTTTACAGTCCATGTGCCTGCCCAGAGCTCAAAGAAATGCCCAGACACACCCAGGAAGTGGATCTAGCTTCCAAGAATGACCTGTGGCTTTTCTTACAAATAATTTTCCTCTCATAATTTTAAGTCATTAACAAATGAAGAACGGGGAGGAAAAAAGGGGGAAAAACACCCAAACAGTACCACCATTAATTAACAAAATCATAAAAGGAAACAAAAATTTGTTGACTTTATATCTCTAAATTCAACCAAGGCTGGGAAAAATCATTACTTCAAGTACACTTTAGGTACATTTCTGCATGCACTCTTTCTTTTTTATAAGGTCAATTAAATGCCAAAAGTGTAACTAAAAATGAGAAATTGTTTAACATTCAGCAGTTATAGCTTGCCTGTTGGTATACATTACACCTAATTATGTACTTCACAATCATTTAAGAAAAAAAAATCATAAAATATTTACAAAATATGTTCAGCCTGTTAGTCATAACTAGATTTTTAAAAATACTTTCAAAAATACAAATAAGTAGAAATTTACTCTACTTATTTAAATTGTTTTGATTGCATAAACAGTCAACAGACAAAATATCTTCAAAGCCCCTGGAATACAAATTGATCTTGTAAGATACAATTGTGAATGAATAAAACCAACTATCACATATTTATGAGACTTTTTTATCCTTGACAAGCTATATCTGCTATTAAAGGATTTAAAGAATAGTAAATGCATTCCCACGAAGTCTGCTTTATAGGAAGAAAAATGCATATTTTGTAAACCGATGTAACTTCTGGCAAGCTGGCAGGAAATGCCACAGTGGAAATCACATACCACCAGGTTTTTTTGAACAGTAGTCAATAATACTGCCTGTATTCAAAAAATTGTCTCTGGTATATTTTTCTACTTGGACTATCCCACAAATTATACAGCAAAAGATAATCTGATATTTTATAAATTGTCATTTCCAAAGTTACATAGCGTACAAAACACATTACTAAGGCCCAAGTTCTCATATCCTCAGTCTCACCAGGTATCTTCTCTTTGGTCAGTCACACAGCAAGGGGACATTAAAACAAAAGAAAGGATGTTCAAACTTTTCCATAAAGGAATTAAACCAGCACAGCAACAAGACAGACCTCTAATGCGCCAGAAGGAAGCAAATAAGAAAGCAGATACTTATCAGCCAACAAAAAAAGTCATACCTGCACTTATTTTACTAATTGTAATTTTGTATCCCTGGATTTTTCAGAAGACCATTGTTTCTTTTCTAGCTCTTGAAAATAACTGTTCAGTTTTTTAGTTTTGTGCTCTTGGAATTAATCTGGCATTACCCTAGAGAAAAAACTCTATTATTTTATAGCGATCTACAGGCAAAAATATACCTTTAGGTTCTCAAGAGGTGAACAGTACAATGGCTGTCCAGCAGTCCCCCAATTCCCCAGGAGTGTGATCAGTAGTTCTGTAAGTTCAACTCATCTTTGCAGAAGGGTCATCCATGGGCCCCCTGGGCTTACTGCAGAAATTATTCCTAATTTACTGGAGCACAATATTAATTACAACAGAGTATTTGTGACTTTAGCCCTCAACAAAATATATGCATCAATATGCTAAAAGACAAAGTTTGATTTATGCCTGTGTCTGTGCATGCTTTCACTCTTCTTCCTCATTTGTTTTAATCTTAGCAGGATAATTAATTAGTTTTATAACACCACTCTGTGTAGGCTGAAGTGCAGACCCAGGCTCTTTCCATAGAGTTATTTGAGACAGTAAAATTGTCTGTGGGCACTGTAATAGCAACAAAGGTGATCCTGTAGATGTGACACCCTTTGGCACAATGCAAGATGTTTCCTTGGTATGCAATGGCAGCACCTGCCTTTCTAAATATTAGAGCAGCAGAGCTGTATAAAGAAGTCAAAGCCTCAACCAAGAATCAATAATGCTTGGGGAAGGATTCTTCAGTGCAGGGAGTGAAAATAGTGCCTTGACCATGAATCAGTAATTTAAATTATGCATTACTTGACATCTTCCATCTTCCATATCTTCACTCATGACCATCAGTAATCAAGTGACTTATTCTGTTAACTTGTACACCAATCAAATCCATTCCCATAAGTCACACACACAGGTTTGGTAGTACAGAGTGCTTTGACTTTGATTTCCAAAATGTCATTGACATTTGAAAGGGTTGACCCTGGCTAGATGCCAGACACACACCACACTTGCTTTATTACTCCACTTCTCAGCTGGACAGGGAAGAGAAAATATAACAAAGATTCATGAGTTGAGATAAGGTCCAGGAAATATCACTCAGAAAATACTGTCACGGGCAAAACAGATTCAAACTGGAGATATAAACTGAATTTATTACTAACAAAATTAGAGCAGGATAATGAGGACTAAAATAAATCCTAAAAATATCTTCCCCCTACCTCTTTCTCTTTCCCCCCTCTACCTCCTCCCCCTCAGAGATGCAGGGAGTTAGGGCATGGGGAGTTATGGTCAGTTCATCACATGTTGTTTCTGCCATTGCTCAGGAAGAGAAGTCTTTCCTTTGCTGCACTCTGGGGTCACAGAATCACAGAATAATGATGTTGGAAGAGACCTCTAAGATCATCAAGTCCAACCTATGCCCTAACACCTCAACTAGACTATAGCACCAAGTGCCAAGTCCAGTCTTTTTTTAAACACATCCAGAGATGGTGATTCTACCACCTCCCTGGGAAGACAATTCCAGTATTTTATTATTCTTTTGGTGAAATTTTTTTTCCTAATATCCAACCTAAACCTTCCCTGACGTAGCTTGAGACTGTGTCCTCTTGTTCTGTCAGTCGCTGCTCAGTGGAAGAGACCGACCCCTACCTGTCTACAACCTCCCTTCAGGAAGCTGTAGAGAGCAAATAAGGTCACAACTAAGCCTCCTCTTTTCCAGGCTAAACAACCACAGCTCCCTCAAAAATTCCTCATAGGGCTTGTGTTACAGGCTCCTCACCAGCCTTGTTGCCCTCCTCTGGACACGCTCAAAGTCCTTCAACCTCAACCCTCCCATGGGCCCCTCCCATGGGACTCAGTTCTCCGTGAACTTCTCCAATATGAATCCATCCTACAGGCAACAGTTCTCTGCAAACTGCTGGACTGTGGGTCACTGCCACAGGAGGCTGTCCTTCAGGAATGTATTTTATCTATAATATAATAAGAAAAACTACATGCCAAGATAAAGTAGTTAACAAAGTAGATTGTTCAATATTTTGCTTTTATTTTTACTAGTGTCTCTTCTCACTTAGAATTATATTAACCGTGTGCCATTTACATGACATACAAAAATTTTCACATACTTCAAGAGAATGTCAGTTAACAAAATCCCCACTGAGTGCTATTTTCTGCTACAAGTTTCATTAAACAGATTTATATGTATTAATACTGATTATTCCTGAGGACAGGCCTTTACATGGTGACCATTTGCATGGGGAATGTTCACCTCCCTTGTACACTCTATTATTAATGTTCTTGCTGCTACTGTTCATATATTAATTCATTGCTGTTTCCAGTAGATTGTTCTTATCTCAAACTCTCGATCTGAAATTTTATGCCTCTAATTCTCCTCTCCAACCTGCCACAGGGGGAAGGGAAGGCAGAAGTGAACAAGTGACACATAGCTTTGAGTGTTTTGGGGGAGCACTAGACTGGGGAATACCATATCTAAACAAAGACAAAAGTTATTTGTATGTCCCTAGTTTAGACTTCCCCTCTTTGGACAAGATAGTAAACATCTGATGACTCAAAAAGCAGAACATCTCAACACACAAAACAATCACAAATTAAGAGGCTGACAAACAAAGAGAGAAAATATCATTGTATATGTGATATCACTCATTAAGCAATTTCTTTAGCATCATGCAACGTAAAAGATCTCAGCCATAAATAATCTCTACAACCAGATAAAAAATACTTCTTTAGCAGTTTGCTTGCATAGATGAATAGATGCTATAATTCAATGAAATTTACTGAAATAACAGTCCTTATTTCAGCATGATGATCTTAATACAATAAAATTTACTTTGTAAGTGCATTTGATGTTCTACACTTTACCTCAGTATATCAACACATTCATCAGTCAGCAAGTGCACACTTTGAAACGTCAGTATGGCTTCTAATTTTCTTCTGATACAAAACCCATTTTTATGTTTTCAAACGTCTGCAGCAAGTCTATTTGTCCTTCTTCCTAAGGCAATCTCAGGATCCACTGAGTCTGAGGTTCTTTCTGTTCCTTATACTGATAAAATATAGCATTTCTACAAATAAATTTAGAGTATTTTTTTGCCTTTAGAAAATTCACTGCTATCCTTAAAAATGGAAACAGTCTAAAGAAAAAAATACCTTATTAGGGAAAAGTAATGAATTTCAGGTGCAAGCAATGAGATTTTTTCAGCTGTTGACCCCAAGATGCTCTGTGCTGGAAAGAGCTGGGAGCTTTTCCTTCCAAGATCTGTAAATAGTGTAAGATTGCAATAATTAGTTATAGTAGCTTGTTATCCACAGTTAGTCCTCATAATCAAAGATAATCTTATCCGTTCACTATTTTTGGATAATCATAATTGAAAACACGATATACAGAAGTTTAGTTTTGCACAATTTGGGTACACAATGCACTTATATCTAAGAGGCTTCACAATTATGTGGCTTCAGTGGATTGCCAGATAATAATCATAATACTATGATTATTAGTAGTATAATAATACTACTTTGTAACAATGTTACACATTTGCAAAGAGCTAGATGTACTATGTCTTCAGATAATGCATGATTAGACAAATATGTCTTCTTAATTTTTAAAATATTGTTAAAAAAATGTAGACCATCACACAATTTTTTATTCAACAACAATTTGTTTCCAGTATGGCTTGGACTTAAACAGTTAGTCATTCCAAGCATTCACCCTCCCCTACCTCAGGCTTCTGGCTATATGAGCAATTATACTGCATTGTCTCTGATCCCTGACCAAAAGGACATCTTTATATTTGTAAGGAGGACAGCTTAAAGCAACATCTGTCTAGTACAACAATATTATTTACAGCCTTCTGTTAAAGATTTTAACTCCTCCAAGCAAACCTTAGGTGACGTGAAATTACAGTTATGTTTCCAGTCAAATAATTCAGAGTAAGAAGAATGTCTCATTTCTGTGACTATCTGCCATTTACTATCATTATGTCCATCTTCCTATTGCCACATTTTCTGATATTAAATTATTATTCCCATTACAAATTTGCTACTATTTTTCAGGTAATGCTCTAATGTACTAATGCCACAGGCCCAGAGATAGATAACATGCTATAAATGTGAGGGATAATGACCATCCTTGAAAGCTACTAAGCCACTCAAAAGGCATAAGCTGTTTACAAGGAGCTAAGGGTGAGAGAGAAGATTATACCCCAACAAATTAAGCAAGTAATTTCTATTCTAGCCTTGATTTTCCTACATGAGAATCACAGCTTCATTGGTTTTCTTGCTGTATCATGTTCTTTTTCTATAGAAGACAGACAAGATTTCTTAATGATTTACAGAACAAGCAACAAAATTCACTCAGATAGAACTGCAGTGCTAAGCAAGGAATTAATGTGTGGTGTTTAAGTGCTGGATTATGTCTCCAAATGAGTCATGTACATCCCTAGTCCCTGGTATCAGCCATGAGCAGGACTATTTTTTGCTATAATAATCAGTGATACAGTTACCTGCCAACACTATCAACTCTCAGGGGCATCAGAAATTTGGATTCCAGAACAAGATCCCATATTTATTGAATGAGGCTCTGTTGCAGGTAATATTCCAGCGCTCTGATATATTAAAGCAGCCCAGAAAATTTTAGGAAACAAAAGCACTTTTAAACGCTGGGAGTTTTTCACTGCTGTTAGTCCGTGATTTGACTGGCTTTTACTTCATTGTTTACAATATCCAGTTGCTTATCAAATATATACAGCATACAAATTTCAACCTGTGGATTGCTTATAAATGGTTGACTGTAACAGCTTTGGTTTAAATAGGTTTTATTCTCATGAATATTCAATCATTTGTTTTTTCTACATCATGTTGTTTTCTTTCCTGTCTGGGTGACATAATAATTTGAAATGGTTCTGCTTTCTTTCATATCTAATGCTATTTTACACACAAAACTTGGAAATGTACCCAAAAGTGCATTTTCTTGAATAAATTTCCCTTCATAAATACATGTGGAGGGGAGGGGGAAGGCCTAATTAAAAAGCCCATATACACAGTTAAGCCCAGATTGTATTGGGAAGGCAATGAAATTGCTCCCTTGCTGCACACTGTGAAGTGATCTAAAAATGGAAACTGCTGTGCTACTGTCTTAATGGAACAGGTTACAGTACAATTCAAGACCTTCCTCTCTCATTCAAAAATGACTACGGCTTGAATGACAAAATTATCTCTTTCTCCTGAAATGCACATATAGAAAGCGATTTGCTTTCTGTCCTTCATTACAAACAGGTATGGATCCCACCCAAATCTGCCAAAACCTGAGATAATCACACTGGAAAATGCTGGGAGATGGCGGACTCACAGCCTATCATGCTAATGCGAAGCTTACATTGTTTTTCCCATTGGATCAATTTACATTTATCTCTATTAGATTTCGCCTAACACTTCATTCATACCTGGATTTTGTAAAGCCCTGTTATGAGTCTGTGCTGCCTATCACTGACCCCCTTAGTACCTTGAATAACACAGTATCATCTGCACACTTTCTCAATGTCTCTGACAAAGTCATTCATCAGTTTATCTTTCACCCAATGACTCATCCGTGTTACAAGCTTTCCTTTTGCCCCACCAATGCCTTAAAAGCTCTAGGAGAATGTTTGCTATTTGGAAACTTCGCTACATTATTTTAGCAGACCAAATCATCCCATTGACATGCCTGCTCCTGCTCTTGAAAGCACTTCAAAAAGCCATAAAAAGGCATAACCTCTGCCAACAGAGCTGTGCTGAAATCTGCCCTTCACCAAAGCTTCAGTACAGGATTCAGAATGGCCAGCCGATGCTTCCCTACTTTGCTCCCACCAATTTTTTTATTTTTATTTAGGATGTAGAAGTTACCATTCTCTTGTCTCTGGATACCAGGGCTGTTCCAAAGGGAGACTACAAGCACAAAGTGTTCCATACTTCAGTTGCGTTTGAAATAGTATGTGACTATTAACCAGCCTCATTATTTTGGGGGGTTCCTTCCATCTAACTGTACCACATGCTCTTCTGCAGTCTCTGTGTTTTAAACATATCCTATGCTCACTCCCTTTTTTCCTCTGTTAGAGCCTTACAGAGTACAAACATTTTTCCTTCTTCCATAATGAACATGAATGCATGAAACCCATGGAGCTTCCCTGAAATGGCCTCATGCTCTTTGAGTGCTTCTTCTATAATCTGGCTGTCACAGTACAGGCCATCTGGTAGGCTTGTTTTCTAAATACACTGGAAAAATTATTTTGTTTTAATTTTTTTTCCTTTAGCCAGCTTTTTCTCACATCTCTTTGACTTGAAGAATAATATTTCATATTTGAGCTACCCATGTTTATAATATTTACTTTTTTCTATTCATTTATACTTGCATTTATTTTATTCCTATGATGGTTGCCAGGTACAACTATTTACAGAGCCCTTGCCAGTGATCACAATGATAGTAAATGTACTGGTCTGTGATAAGCCATGCTATACAAAATCATCTTTCTGACCAGTTCTGTACAATGAGAATTGCAGCCTCTTTGTAGTTATTATCATCTCAGATGATCACCAAAAGGTGCATCCCTACGTTTTTTCTTTTTTTCTTTCTGTCTGCAGAAATATTTTTGTAACTCTGCCAGTAATAAGTCTTGACCACCCAAATCCAGGTCCCTCATGAACTGTGGAAAGAAGCCATACAAGCATAGATGTTGTATGAGTAGATAACTGATTCCCATCAACACAAGCTAACATAAGCATGCCAATTGCTTTAACTAGATTGTCAAAGTTTAGCTTAATTCAGGATTCACCAATTTTGGCAGCAGTGCAATTCTCAGCTAAGTCAAGCCATTTATATAGTGTATCAAGAGAGGTTACAAAGTCAAAATGTGTCTACCAGAATCTTGTAGATTTTTGTATTCATGCTTTGAAAACAAGTAATGAAAATCAGATATATTTTCCCCAACAGAAAGAAATCATTCTCTTGTATGAGAAAGAGTAAAGGCACCAGTTCTATTTTGAATGACTGTATCTACAAAGATTCCAATTATATATATATATATATATATATATATATATATATATATATATATATATATATATATATGAGGCATACCTGGAAATGCACTAGCACTAGCTATATGTTTATGCATTCACTCCATAAAGGGTTCAGTATTCTTTCAGATTTTGCACTGCATATAATAGCAACTGGCATGATGTCACCACCCAGTTGGTTAAAACAAAAGGAAAGGGCTGTTCTTATTCATTGCCAATTGTATCCTGTAATGATAATGAATTCATTTCCCAGTTTTGTATAGCATCTTATGATTTTTTTGGTAACTATGGCAACTATTCATTTTTGTTTGAATAAAAATGTGTTGCAATGCCATGCAACTTGCTGGCATATAAACTAAGGCTGCCTGCTGGAACTAGGACACCAGAATTCCATTTTCCCACTAAGCTTTAAACTGACATGTTCACTCTTGGTGAAGAAAGTGCCTATCTTTGCTAAGGACAAAAAAGTATTTGTCCTGAGTAGGTGGAAAGGGTCATTCAGTTCACTGCACAAAGCACAGGTGCTGATGACTGCTGACTGAGGAGTGAGTCAGTCAGGCTGAGCAAAGAAAATACTTGAATTACCTTTTACTAAGCTTTGGCATCAATACCAGGCAAGAGAAAAGAAAGAGGAAAAAAGAGGACGAGTTATGAAACCACAGCTGAAGCTTACCTGCATCCTAGAGAGAGCAGCTGGACTTTCAGTCATGAGAACACATTTCAGCAGCTCTGGTTTAGGCTGTGGTGTGCAGAATCACTGATGCAGCACTCCAGAGCTGACTGTCCTGCGATCATTCTTCTGGCCAGTGTCATCTCAACACTTAGAAAATACCTGCTAGCACCTAATTCCTCCTAAAATAAAGTATCTGAAATTTTGTTAGCAATAAAAGTTCAGGGACTTTAATTTAGGAGGAATTTCAGGCTCATATATTACAATGGATTAAAGCATCACAACAATCGATTTTTCTCTTCCTAATTCACTCCCATCTGTTTCTCTTTTGTTTTCTAAGAAAACCAGGTTTTATTCAAGTCAGTTAATGCTAGAAGGTATAATTTTACTTGTATTGTGGCAGCTGTTTGCATTTCAGTACACCTGAAATTTCAAATACATCCTTGGTTACTTGGGCCCTGTTCTAGTCTCTCATCAGTATTACTCAGAATGGTAGAATAATTCAGGTTGGAAGGGATTTCAGGATATCCTCTGGTGTAACCTGCCATTAGAGTGGGGAGTCAAATTTATTTCAGACCAGGTTGCTCAATCCAATTTCAGCAGCCTTCCTCCTGAGGTATCTGGGTATAGATGAAAGAAGAAACTGCCTGCAGCAGAAATAATAAATTGATAATTTGATGAAGGACATTGCAAACCAAGGTTAACA